TTAGTTTCCTCATTTACCTGTTGTTTATATATTTTCTCCCAGAGTCTAGGCCTGCATCATCTCCCATCTTAAAAAGGGAAGTTTATTCCTGTAATCAACTTCTGCTTTAATTTTCATTTCTCTTTTTGTGTAGTCTGTATAATTACTTACTAGTGTTCTTTTCCTCTGGTTTCCAATAAATTCAGAATTAGACCCTGCATAGGTTAAAATTGTTCTAGATGGTGTTGCTGGTGGCTACAGACCATTCATATTCCTCCTCTGTGATCATTTGACAATTAGGCATATTCTTTTTAAAATTTTGCTGTCCCTTTTTTAGCTTTGTCTGTGTTTTTCCTCATTATCCTGTAACGTTTGATTATGGGACTATCCGCCCAAGTCTAAAAGAAAGCCCAGGTCTTAGGTTTCTTCATGTCTTGTCCTGACACTGTACTCCTGTACTCTGCCTCTCCTGTGGATGTGTCTCATTTTATCTGAATTTGATACCATTTCCTCTTTTTATTATATTTGCAGGTATTTTCTGTGTCATTCTGATTATGTCCTGTCTAACTCTGTTCCAGAAGCATCAGCCTGAAGCAAGCCTGAGAGTAAAAATATAGAACTCTAAATCCTGCATGAGTGGGGTGCTGCTTTTTACCATTTTATGTATGAGATTTAAAAATGATCTCTGTGTAATCTGAATGATAGGTTTTTTACCAAGAAGCCTCAAACATTTTTTAAAATCTGTTTTAATGATATTATTTAAGAGTTCAAGAGATCCTGTTTTTCCCAGGAGAGGTGTTGAAAAAGTGAAGTGTAAGCACGAGATACCTGTTTCAAAAGTTTGGCAAGCTATAAAAAAAGTGCCAAGTTTCTGCAGCTCCCAGATGGTCAGGAGCACATCTAAGGAGAGCAGTTCCAGTATTTTAGGGGTACTGGAGCTATGGGATTTCATGGCTAGTTAAATAAAAAATTTCTAAATCTATCAGGTCTTTTGTCCTGAAGCCATTCCAGATGTAACCAGTTGTCAGTAATTTATTTCTTTTTCAAGCTTTGCAATAAAGAAGAGAAAATGCTGATTAAATTCTGATTGTAACTGTATAATAGTTTTTTGTAGTGAAGTATACTACTTGGCTAAAATCACTGTGGGTAGATAAGTATACTGTGTCTGTGTACTCACGTAACAGGAATTCTACATTTCAAAGTGTTATAGTCTTATCTTAACAATGCTTTGTATTAATGTTTAGGTGCTTAATTATAATGAACGTATGCATAAGCTTAGTTATAATGAACGTATGCATATAACGAACGTATGCGATTTAATTTTTCTGGAAATACTGTTTTCATAACCTCTTAAAAACAGGTTATGTCCATTATTAGAATCCTGTGACTTTACTACTACAATAGATAAATTTTTATAGCCATCCCAGACATCTAAAAATTAATGGATCTATTTTTTGTCTGTTTATATTTTGCTTAAAATTGGTTTTCATTTAGCCAAGAGATAATAATACCATAAATCATGATCACTAATTTTGCTAATATCTTAGCGTCATAAAATCCTAGTGAACTCAAGATTTTTCTACTCTGGCTCCTGCTTGAAGCAGGGTCAACTACAGTGAGTTGCTCAGGATGTTGTGAGTTGAGTTTTGAATATCTCCAGTGATGGAGATATGCTTAAACAGAATTTTCTGTGCTTCAGTTTGTGCCTATTGCTTCTTGTCTGTCACTGGGCATGACTGAGAAGAGTCTGATTCCATCTTCTGAAGAATGCCTGTCCCGCTTCCAAATTGGGTAATTTTGCACCATGGTAAGATTCCTTTGAGCCTCCCCTTCTCCAGGTTGCATAGTCCTGTGTGTCTTAGCCTCCCCTTAAATGACAGATGCTCCAAGCCCTAAGAAGATGTCATATTTATATCAAAGCTTTCCTTCTCAAAACTACTTCTCCTCACAATGGTAAAGTACAGTGGTAAAGCTGTACAGTTCAGCTCAAAAAAAAGATCCTGGGAAACAGTAAAATGATCTATTTTTAAAATGATTTATTTTGTAACACTACCCCCATGTTAACTCCCTTCTTATTTCAGTCAAGGTTTATGGTTTTCATAAAGCATCTACTGCAACACTGTTTTTATAATCTTATCTTATATCCCTAGGAATCTTTTTCAGAATGGTGGTTGATATTTAATATGATCTTCTATATAATCTTTTCCTAAGATTATAAGATAGAACATTCTTTGATTAATGGACTACCTTTTTATAAAGAAATTTTCCTAAATTTCCATTTCTAGAGGAAGCAACAGTGGCTCATTTTTGCTTAGTAAGGACAGTATCCTTAGTTTCTCCTGGAGCAGCAATAGAAAGATCTTTTTTCTGAGTATTTAAAAGAATAGAGACGACATGTTTTATCAGACCTTCTAAAGGAAATAAGTGCACTGAAAAGAAGAAAACTTCCCAGGCTGCAGACTGTAAGCTGATTGTCAGCAGTCCTGTGTAGGTGGAGCCTTTCCTTCACCGGCCCTCTGCTGTTGTGTTCTTGGTCTGGGAAGTGATTCTGTCATTCTGTTCTTCCTTGGACCACACTTTCTGAGGCTCACAGGCAGTCACATTATTTACTGTTCACACACAGAACACATGTAGCATAGTGTTTCTGTGCATGTACTACTTTTTCTCCCTTGTCCATCTGTATTCTCTTGGCAGACTGTTTGCAAATCAGCAGCAAAACCCAGCAGGATTTGGGGGATATTAGCTTATATTTGATCCTTCTTTCAGAGTTAGCAGGTTCTTGCTTTGAGTTTTATCACATTCAGATTGGTGCTTTGAGCAATTTTGTTCCCTTCATAGAAGTAAAAATGAAGGTTCCTGAAATGCAGCTTTTTTTCTTACATCTTTTTACTTGCAGAATGCCAGTGCTGGTCGCTCCTCTCTGGTTTCTGATGTTATTACTATAATTTCTCTTTTCTCCAAAACTTTTTTGTAACTAAACTTTTTTTCTGTACTCACAATATTGCACCTTCTGCATGGCCAGGACACGACCTAACTGAGCTGAAGACCCTTATTCATGTGGGCTTTATTTGCAAATCTGTGCTAGGTCTTGAACTAAACTATAATCTTCTTGTCCCCAAATAGTTCCCACTAAGTAAATAGCAGCATAACTCTTTTACTGAGGCATGTAGAAAATGTTACGATGTTTTCTTTAGGGTGAACACCTGCCCTTGGGGCATGAACTGAGATGAAAAATGTGCAGCTGGTGCCTAAACTTTGAGGAAATGTGAAAATTCATTGAAACATCCTTTGTTTAGCACTCAAACATCACACTTACTAGTGTAATTTGCAAACTAATAATAGCTGAATCACAGCGAGAGTTTGACTTCAGTTGCATTGCTTTTCCAGTCTGTTTTTCTATTCTGAATTGATTCAGAAGTTTCTGAAGTCTTTATGTGACAACCCAGAGGACTGAAAACTGGAGAAAGGAAAGGGAAGGAACAATGGGGAGTAGGGGAAAATAAAAACTGTTTCATATGAAGGGTGTGTGAAAATTGCTATAGTTTTACCTATACTATGTTAAAATTGAAGCATGTGTACCTCCCAGGAGTAACTGTTTTCAGACCTTTGCAGTGTAATTTATATAAATACAGGCATTCCCACACAGTTCCATAATAAATGTGGATTTCGAAGTTTCAGAGAACATGTGATAACCCCACAGATTCATTAATGTTGATGAAAGGCCACCTTTATTGCTGAAAGACTGTAATTGCACTATTCTTTTACAGTTCTTCATTGTGGTTCAAGTTTTACCTCTTGGTTCAAGACTACTTTTTACTGGTTTTAGTCAACTCTTCTGTTTGTTCTTTCTCCTAGGAAAGAGCAACATGGTGTATGCTTTCCCAAAGAGTGATTTCAGTATAGCTGTTTACATTCCTTTTCCTTCTTATAGTTGTATACCGAAGTTGTTATATGTCTTTAGAGTCTTACATTATCTTACAGTACAGAAATGTAGGCTTTTAAGAATGGAAAAGAAGTTTTAAATTATGACTGTATCATGGCATGTTGAGTTCAGAATATATTTTTTATGCCTGGCTAAGGATGATTTTGACAGTGAGGGAAATTGGACTCAGTTCAAGATTCCTAGTTTTGAACTGGAGCGGTGTGGCCGGTGGAAAACACGCCCAGGCTAGAATGACCAGCCCGCCTCCAGCCAAAGGGGCGCTTCCCCAACACGAAGCTGGGTACTGCGCCTAAGGCACTAAACTGCCTTCCGGACATTGGCCGCTGAAACTCCGAGCCGCAGGAAGAAGAGGCGTCTCTCAGTCTCTTGGAATGATCGGGTTTATTAGGTCCCGAGGGACCAAACACTCCCAATGGAACCAGGGGATGAGGGCTGGGAGCAGAGAGCTGAGAGCCCTGAGGTGTGGAAAACCTCGGGTTTTAAAGAAGGTGGGAGGGGTGAGGGGTAACAAATCAGGAGAGGGAAGGGAAGGATACATTGGGGATTGACATAATGATAAAACCAATCATGTACAAGTAAGGGAGGGGCCCCGGTCCCTGGGCCAATCACCCGACACCCTGGCCAGAAGCTTCTGGAAAAAGAGGCAGGGGTGCCGAGTGACACGCAGGCAACCGGGGGTGGAGAGCAAAAAGATACATTTGATAACCATAGAAACTGGGGAGGGGTTTGGGGATTGACAGTTAACTGGGATAGGGGCAGGACCTTTCAACATGAACAATGGGGGTGAACAGAACAAACGCGAAATGAACCACAACATTAAGTCATTAAGCTTTATCTCAGGTTTCCAATGTTGCCTTGTAAATTCACTTGAGGTCGGTTCTGTAGTAATAGTTAGCATCCATTTGATCAGAACAAAAAATACCCAGTTCCTGGAAACTGTTCTTATGGGCAAGTAATTAGAAAAATTATTAATACTAATCATATGCCATGGCACTTTTTTTAGGACAATGTCAGGATATAAAAAGAAATATCCAGTCCCTTTAAATGTGTTGACATTGTAATGCTGTTTTAATTACAGGTACAGAGAGGCTCTTGTCAAGTGGGATGAAGCACTTCAGTTAACTCCAGAGGATGCTACACTTTATGAGATGAAATCACAGGTAAGGCATGACAATTCTTTGCCAGTTCAGAAATTGGAAAAGAAAACATTGTGCTTTTGAACAAGTACTGGGCAACATTATTTAGTTGTTGTGCACAGGAACTGCAACACAATTTAGGTATTTAATTTTTACCAACTAACAGGGTGTCTTTTAACAGAAATTAGACTAATGCTGTTATCCCAGCCAGTCACAGTAAACATCTTTGTTGGGTTGGAATTGAGTTGCTACATTGGAGAGAAAAAAATGATATTGGAAGGATCAAGGAGAGCCTTAGTGTGATAGATTAGCAAATCTGACCATTAAAAATCTGCCTGCTCTTTCTAAAGATTGGGCTTAATACTCTCTACTGTCAATATGAAACACAGGTACTATGTGCAAATGGTTTGCTTCATTCTGGTTTTGTATTCAGTGTTACATAGATAAATCAGTCATGTAAAATACTTCATAATATCTCATCTAAACCTGCCCTCTTTCAGTTGGAAGCTGTTCCCCCTTGTCCTGTCACTACATGCCCTTGTAAAAAGTCCCACTCCAGCTTTCTCATGACTCCCATAGGAACCCTCCAGATTCTAGGTACCATCTTAACAGGCCCCATAAGATGTGCCTATTGAGTTTCAGCAAGTGGTCTTGAAAAACTAAATTCTTTGAGGAAGAGAGGAAAATAGAAAAAAAATGGTGAATGTGTTATGTAACTTTTAGGAAGTTTGCTATACTGTTCAGTTTTAAAATCTTTGTTGTTACTCTAATTATTTTATTGTGTAAAAACCCCAGTCAAGACCCTAACACCCCTACTTCCCCAAAAAAGAAGCCAAAAAAACCCAAACCCCAACAAACCCCAAGAACCAATGCTGGTTCTTTTCCAAGGTGTGGTGGCTGCTTTTTCTAATGGATTTTACCACATTTGCTCCTCACAGTCATCTTATCTGGTGAAGAAAGTTTGATTCTGCAAAAGAATTAATAGAATTATCAGGACTTCACTTCAAGACAATGAATACTGAAGGATGCTTTTGTTTTATGTAGCTGTGGAAGGTTTAGATCTTAGTAGGTTATGCATTTGGTTTGAGAGATTCTTATGGCTTAAGGGTTTTTCTTTAACTTGTTTTGGGAGAAGTATTTTGTTGTCTTTCCATAAGTGTTAGTGTAAGTGAAAGATCTGTCTAGCCTAGTGGAATGGCTGGAAAAGAGTTGCCCAAATGGCACGAGCATGTAGCAATACTCCTCTCCTGATCCTTTTCCCAGGCTCCAGCAAGTTTTGGCCTTGGACTTCTCTGTGTATAGAAGTACTTGAAAATTTTTCTTCAACAAATTTGTTTCAATGCTTTCTGTTCATGTGTCAATTTCTAATATCTGCAGAGCTATGTATTAAGGAATTTCAAATCCTGATTATGCATTATTGGAAGACACAGGATAATGCAATTCTGCTTTATTAGCAGCACTCCAGATTGCTCTAAAGGCTGTTAACTTACATAGCTGTTCCTTTATAAGTTTAAGTTTTAACTTCCCTAGTAAAGAAGGTCTTCACACCTGCTAAGATGTCAAGATAGTATTGGTAAATTTTATTATCATAGTGTAAAGATTTAACTCCGTTTTGAATAAAACAGAAAGTTGTTAAAAATTTCAGAACAGTTCTGCTCAGCAGGACAAATTAGTCAACAGCTCCCTTGTAACTATTTTTATTATGGTCTTATGTGAATGCAAGAATTTAAGATAGGTCCCCAAAAGCATTCTGTTTAATTGAAATTACACCAAAAGCAAGTATTTTCACACTGAAAATAGTAGGACAGCTCTGAAGTGTGTAAGCTTACCTGGACTGGAGCTATGATGCAGTGAATTATCCAAAGAGGTGAGTGCTACAATGTGCTTCAATCTGTGCTCCAGATAATAGTTCTGAGGGGTTGTTGGTTACTTGGCTCCCCAGTCCCTGTACTTCAGCAAAATGGCAAAGGTGAGTTAGAGACACACAGCTTTTCTGCTGACCAAGAGGAACTGAGAAACAGCTCTGTTACTGTGATTCATCTTGTGAGTTATCTGTTCTTGTCTAATGATACAAGTGGAGAATAATGAAAGCTGAAAAAAAATGCTGAAGGAGCCCAGGCCTCTCTTCTACCATGCCTTTGCTTTCTTTCTGGAAAAAGAGAGCAGTTCTCAGCAGTTGCACCATTTCTTTTTGATTTCACTTTCTTGTGTTGCATAATACTTGATACACTGTGAATGAGAACACAAGAAAAGCTTGTGTACAAAATATACATTTATAAAACTATTTCTTGAATCTTTTTAATAAAACATGTAATGTTTCAATTGGTAATGCCTCTTTCATACATGCAAATAATTATTGCAGATTTTTTTTCAGTATGACTTATGCTTACTGGAAGCTGTTTAGTAGAATGTGTAATTTGATACCTTTGTACTTCTAAAAGCATTGATGTGAACTGTAGAAATCCATTTTTGCCAAAACAAATGCGTAATTCATTCAAAAAATATTGTGGCCAATATTCAAAAGATATCGTCTTAGAGCTGACTGTGTTGTTCCAGTCCAGCATACCAGCACAAATACTGCAGCTATTACAGTGTAGCTCAGTGAAAATGTTTTGGAGGAACTGTACAGCAGTGTCAGAAATGCCTTGATGAGCTCTGGGTCTATAAAAATCCCCCTGTCTTGATATGTGTGTCACATACTAGAGGAGGAGATTCATTTTAGGAATGACTTTGCGCAATATGCAAAGATTCCTTATGGTCTGTATTAATTTTCTATCAGTTAGAAAATGTCAAGAAGAAAATTTTTTGGAGAATTAGCATTGGAGGATGAAGTGGGTTTTTTTTGCACAGGCTTGAGTATCTCTCTTATGCCCTTTCATTTATTAGGATAACCTTATTTTGGGTATTTTCTTTCTCAACAGCAAATGTAACATTTTCAATACTGCATTGTTTAATATGTAGCTCAGATAAATATGATAATGGCACTGTGGGAATCTGTAAATGTTTGTGGTAAGTTCTCAAAGATCTGTATTTTAACAGATGTAAGACAAATGCCTTTCAGTACTTCTGAAGAGCAGAAATACTGTTCAAAGTTCCTAGTTGTCAAAGTTATTTGAAATAAGTGTATTTCCAGAAAATCACATGGGAACTGTGGAATTGCTCAATTGCTTCAAAAAACTATAGAATTTGATGAGATTTTTTTCTGTTGCTGTCAGCTACTCTTTGATCCATTTAAAACCAGATTTTCATGGTTTTTGAGAGGTTAGGGGTCCACTTTCCTTTGTGTGCAAGATCTGTCAGTATACATACTTGATACTTCATCACCAGCCTAAGCGGTTTCTCCATCGCAAGAGCAACGACTGGAAAGTAAATGTTTATGCACGTTCATGTCTGCAATTTTTTTGAAAACCAAAAATCTTTAAAAAGACCCAACAACAGCAGCCTAATATAAGTAGTATTGTAAGTCTATTAAAAGGAATATATAAAGACTGCCTGTATTAATGCAGCCACTAGGACTGCTTGAAATTAATGGTAGACTGAATTTCTTAAATATTGACTGGATTATTTTGTTACTGCTTTGAACTACAAAGATGGAGGAGCAGACTTTGACATACTCTGATTTTTTATCTTAATATTTGGTGACTGGACTATGTGGGACATTTTTGGATGAAGAGGGATATCAAAAGACTTGATATATGGTGATGTTATACAACAAACTGTCTTGGGATCCAGACTTGCTGCTATTTAGTGCTACTCCTGAGAATTCCCCTCCTTCATGTTGCTTATCTCGTGACTCTTGGACCTCAGATCTCAGATAGCTATGCAACTATGACAGAATTTTTAAAGTAGACGATGCAGGTTTTTTATGTGTATTTTTTAGAAAAAAGTAAATTCAAATGTAAACTGTCAGGTTAAGTTCCTTTTTATAATTTTTTGGATGTTTTGTCATCAGCTGTATGAGAATCCAGTTTCCTTCAATGCTACATCCTCAATTTGCATTCATTGAACAGGACCAGGCTATCAGATACGTGTCACTTCTTTGTTTTTATATATGAAACCCATAATCTTTAAATCATTCCATTTCCCCTCTTCTAAAGGCTTTCTTAATGTTGAACTTGGTGAAGAAATAATATCAACTTCTATCTCTCTTCCTACTTAAGAAATTACAAGGTTTCTAAGACATGACCAGACTTAGAATCCCAAGTTTAGATTATAACTAGTAGTTATAACAGCTAGTAAGTGCTGATTATTTTAAATTTGTTTTTCTTAAACTGGGATGTGTACGGAGAAGAGTAAACTGTCAAAAAATTAGACTGAACTCCAGAAATCTAAATTGCAATAAAGCATTTCTGTATGGTGCAATGGTAATAGCTTCAGAGCATGAGTAAATGTAAACTACTTATGGGTAGGATGAATTTTATTAATCTGTATTTTGAAATGGGTTACTGGATGGAAAAAGGAATTGGGTCATTTTCACTGGACGTGGAATGTATCTATATATAGTGATTCAGCCTCAATCCACTGAGCTCATTTAAAACCAGAACTTACTCAGATTCATAACACTTCCAAAATATTGTGGGCAGAACATGATGGATCACTCTGCTGCCTGGATTTCTAATACTTGGTCAGTCTCCTGATGAGAGTTGCTATGTTTAATTGTTTTTTTGCCACTGAGTTCTTCTAACTCTTCTAATTTCTCTTGTATGACTTTTTCTAAAAGTCTGTTAAATGAAGTTATTATAGGACATGGATGTTTTTGTTTTAAAACATGTAATAAAGATAAATTTCTTTGAGTAAAGCAAGTCCTGAAAATCCACTTACTGAATATCTTTATAAGACATTTCCCTCCAGTCACTTTTGACACATACATATGTTTTTTTTGTATGTGTATGCCCACAGTGAGAGTCTTGAGATGTTTTTTCTGCTTTATAAGTTACTTTCCTAATTTTTCTATTAGTTTTAAGAATGTTTTCTAATAGAGTATTATCACTATACATATATATCACTATATATATATACACATTACTTTATATGTACACTATAAATATATTATGAGTGTGTGTGTGTATATGTATACACACATGCATGTTGAGCATGTGACAGGCACGCTGTGTGACAAGGAGGCTACAGCACATGTGGTTCCTGTTTGGCTTTGTCTTGCCCATGTGTCTGTACCCCAGAAGGGCTGAGCACCACTTGTCAAATCTGTGCACGGAAAATCTTTGTGCTGGCAGTGTTTTTTATTCCTTGTTCAGTGTGGTTTTTCGGGCGTGGAATAGCGGGTTTGCTGGTTCAGTTTCCAAGTAACATACAGAGATGTTTAATAAAAGTGATAATGATATCTGCTCATGCTAGAGTAGAACAGAGTAAGCCAAGACAAGGCTGCACACATTTATATCTGCCATTGTAGGTTCATTTTGATCACCTCTTCCCTGAAAAAAAAGTGTAGGAAAATAATGTGCATTAATAAGTATATTCGTTATACTGACTGACAAGTGTAGCTGAGTCATTTTATTAATAACTAAAAAAACTACCTGTGTTGGATAAAAATGCATATACATTCAAATGTGTGTTTGTTTGAATGTACTTGGAGAATCTAATGCCAAAGTTACTAGGAGCAAAGTAATTACTACATGATCTGGAAGAGCATTTTTAAAGCAGCTGTTTATGCTGGTGCGCACAATACTCATAAATAGATGAAAGTGGAATAACTGCCTTTATTAGTAAAGTAATAATTCAGTAAACAAACCAGTAAAATTCATTAAATACTACAAATGATTTCCTAAGCACTTACACAGATGTTTTGTAATTAGTTTGCAGTAGAAAGTACTGGTAGGAAATACGGAGTACTTGGGATGCATAAAAATGTTCCTGTAAATGCATACTTGGATTTGTTTTCTCTTATGAGAATAAATACATTAAGACACTGATGTAGAGGATAGCTGATAGATGCAGAATCCCTTCATCTCGGTAGGATGTACACTTCTCCACTAGTAACAGTTTCCTTCACTTCACACATCTGCTGCAGATAGAGGAAACTGCCCATAGAAATGTAATTCATCTGAAAGTTTTGGAAAACACATAACATTTATCATAGACTTTGATACAAAATGCAGACATCGAGAACCATTGAGCAGGATAAAGAGGGAAGATTATATACTGCTGTAGATTGTTTTTCTGAAGATTTTTTAGGTACTTCTGAATTCTAAGGTACAGTCCATCGATAGAATTAAAGTGAAGCCATAAGACTAGTCTTTAGAGAAGTTTAGTCACACAGAACAGCAGAAGTATCAATCCAAAGGGCTGTTCAGAATCCATGTTTATGATGTTTCTTGTTTTTTTCAGTCCAGGGTTGCTTTCTGTTGTAAATCTTTGCCTTCTCCTTTCCCTCTTCTTCTTCTGTTCAGTGTACTGCTCACCTCTGTGCTGTGCATGTCCTATTTGTTAATTAGGGTAAATACTCAAGATCATCACATTTGAATCCTCCAACACTCATATTTATCTATTTAATATATCATAGAACAGTAAGGTTAAACAAATCTGTTTTGAACTTCAGCAATACTCCTAACATGTTCTAATATTATTCATCATAGTTGTGGTCAGTTGGGATGAAAGTGGTTGCCCACACATGAGTCTAACCCTTGTGGTTGACATTCTCATCATACTGCAGGAATGCAGTTGTCATTTGTTTCTTACACTGGTATCTATCACCATAGCATGTGGGTGTCTGAAATCATGATCTCAGAGTGACAGATCTTCAGGTGATGTGCCAATCTCATGGTGGTATTGGAAACATAAGGCAAGCTTTGAGCCACATTGGGTATTGCTAACTGTGATTTATTGTCTTAGTTATGGAGATTCAATGCAAGGAGAATAATCCTATGGTAACTGCTGAGTAACAGAGATTTTCGCATTCAGAAACCACTTTTTTCCTTTCTTAATGTAGGTGACTTCACATCTAAGTTAAGCTCTGCTGAATGCTTGTTCTCTAAATACAGCACTCATTGTTAAGGTCTGTTTCCATGCTGAGTTACAGGGATTGTTTCTATAATTATATCATGTGCACTGCACTGTTTCTGGTAGATTACAGCTCTCTATTAAAAAGAATAAGTACAGTCCAGGAGTTTTTCAACAGTACTTGCACATTTATTATGTTTAGCTCTCCATGTGTTTGTCCTGACTATTCTGTTATGCTTCTATAGATTGTAGGGTTTGTTGACAAAGAGAGACATCTTCAGAAGCAGTTAATCTACTTCTAATAGCATTGCTTAAATAATTTGGGTGAATTATCCTCTAGCATGCTCGTTTCTCTCTGTGGGGATTGGAATGAGTCTGGGTGACTATCTGAGGTCAGACAAGCAGCTTTTAACTAAAAAAAAAACTAGGTAAGATGAATCTTAGTTATTGAAACAGTGGTTGTTGCCTGGGTAATCCCAGAAAAGTTAAATTTATTTTCAGTTTTGCTTATTTTTCTTCCTCTTCTTTTTCTATTTCTGATACAGGTCTTGATGTCTTTACATGAAATGTTTCCAGCAGTGCATGCAGCAGAAATGGCTGTCCAGAGAAACCCGCGTTCCTGGGATGCCTGGCAGACTTTGGGACGTGCCCAGCTTGGATTAGGAGAGATAGCACTGGTAGGATAACAGAATTAATTGTGTGTGAGAAGGAAAGTACAGAAATGCCAAGGTTGCTGTAGATCCTTATGGTAACTTGAACATAGACAAGGAGAAAGATCATTATTATTTATCTCCAGTGTTCCCTCTGCTTTATTGTGTTTCACAAATGCTTCCTGTGTGGTTTTGTTGCTGGACTTGTGGAAGACCAGTCTAGCTCGAAGACTTTTGTGTCATATACTATATTTATGTGGTGGCTTTATGCAATAGAACAATTATGCTGACATAACTGCGCATACTGCATTCTGTGTGTTGTACTGCTACAGTGCCACTCACCATAATTTAAAGATGAGGGTAATGTGAAGTTCAAGGATCAGCTGATTATTTGGGCTCAGTTTCTATACATGCCTGCTGATAAAATTCTAGTGTCTTGTTTTTCTTGTGTCCTGCTTATGCAGCAAATAGTGTGTGCTCATTCCTGCTTTCCTCTGGCTCCCTGACCTCAAATGATGGCTGAGGTTGCTTCTTCATTTAATAAGGGAGCAAAAAGCCAGGGATGCTCTGCAGTGGCTGAAGTGCATCTTTTTTTTCTGGGGTATAATAATTTTTTCCTAGTTTCTGTGAAAACACAACAGGTGAACATACCTGCATTTCAAATTCAGACACATTCCCAGAGGTCTATTAGAAAAACATTGCATCATGACCTCTTAGATGAAAAAAGATACTGGTTGTATTCTGAGTAGAAGTAGCTGTGTGCTGTTTTGATGTGAATAATTTTGTTGGTAATTTAGAGTGATTTTGCAAACTTACAATGTCTGAAAATTTTCAAGAATTAAAAAATGACGGGATTTTTTTGATGGAGGTTAACAATTCATACAAAACAAATTTTTAAAATGTAGTAAGAAGCAGTGTTAAAAACCCCAAACCAACCAAAATAAATGCAAACTATGTGAATCACCTAGAGTCACAGAACGCTTTGGCTTGGAGGGAGCCTTAAAGATCATCTAATTCCAACCCCATCCAGCCTGGCCTTGAATATTCCCAGAGATGGGGCATCCACAGCTTCTCTGGGCAACCTGTTCCACATTCTCAGCACTTTCACAGTACCGAATATCTTCCTAAGTTTCCCCTATTTCAGTTTGTTTCTATAACTCCTTGTCACTACGGTCCCTGATAAAGAGTCCCTCTCCAGCTCCCCTGTATTCCCCCTTCAGATACTGGCAGCTTGCCGTGAGGTCCCCATACAACCTTCTCTTCTCCAGGCTGAACAGCCCCAACTTTCTCAGCCCATCTTCAGTGGGGAGGTGCTCCAGTCCTGTTAGACAAAACCTAAGACAAAACCTGTGTGTTACAGATGTGCAGTGTGCACCCTTTGTCGGTGCAGTATCATAATATGAAATATCTCAAATAAATCCATGCATAACTGCATTTCAGCAGTGGTGACATTCCATGGTTTTTGTGGTGTAGAAGGTTAGGGTTGATGGTCTGGTCTGTCTGGATCTTTTCCTTTTAAGTGTATGAAACTGTCACTGTAAATTGTGCCTGAGAATTTTAAATGCACTAGTCTCAGGAAAATTAGAGTTTTATTTCCTTCAAGGACTGATGCTGTTTATTCTGTAAGAAATGGTACAGTTACTGTAATATCAGTTATAAATAGTAATATGCCTGTACTAGGTATATCCAGCAGTTTGATTCATCAGATCCTGCAAGCTTTTTCTACACAGACAAGTCATGAAGCACCAGTGGGACTGGCTATCTGGAGTGCTGGGGACCTAGTGTTCATATTATTTTAATTTTGTCTTATTTTAGAGTAGCACTTCAGTGTTCTCTTAGAGTACACTGTTGAGCTTAATCAGAAAGGGATCTAATTTATGTAGCTGAGACTATTCAGTGATGCAAAGCAAAGCATTTTAAGTGGGAACAATCAGAGATTTGCATCAAAGCACTTCATTCATCTGAAACACTACTCTAGGTGCTCCTGTAATTGTTAAATTGACCTTACTGTGATGAAGAGGGAGGGAGAGGGGGTTATCACAGTTAGTTTGCCCTCTTAGTTTTTGATTGTATCTGAGCAGGGAGCCCAGCCCGTTGGTGTCCCCAGTGCTGTGGTACTGTGTGTTCATACTTCATTGCCTTCTGTCTGTAGATTGAATTGCCTTCTGATAAATACGTTTTCACATACAGAGAAGTTGGGGAGTTCTTCTAAAATGCAAATAATGTTCACTATTTGTTTTTGAACCAAGCGATTTTTAAGGAATCTTAAGAGGCTAAGACTGATGGAGTTTTAAAATAAGAAGTGAATTCATAGTTACTGAACTTCTGGAGTCCTCTTGACCAAGTGGTTTAAATCATAATTATCCTTTTCCCATTAGTCTTTCATTGCCATGATTTTCTGTTTTTCCCTGTGTCATATTTTTTACAAAGAAAAGTTAATAAAGCATAAATATCAAGGCTTTTTTAGAATTTTTTTTTTTTTTAGATTTGGGAATTACTATCCTTCTAAAGAATTGCTTCTTCTGCTTCTTTGTTTCATTTCTCCCCCACCAACATCTGTCTTCATTACCCACATCCTGCCAAATGTTCTGTTGTGAATACTTTTATTGCTTCACAATGAATGATGCATTTTTTTCTTAGGAAAAAACCAATTTATTTTAATTTGAAGTTTCCCAGGTCTATAATGCTGCTTCCAAACAAATCTGTATATTATGAGCTGTGTAATAATAAAAAAAAGAAATATTTGCTTGGATATAGTTTTTGTTAAATTTGTGACAAAAAGAATGAGCTAAATTAGTCCCTTTTTATTTAGCTTTTATGAAAGTTGTTTGCTCTTTTTTCCCCCCTGAATTTACTAAATAGGGTAATTCAACAGTATTACTTAAATGTGAGCAAGGAAAACTTTATTTCTGTAAAGGCAGAAATTCCTTAAATTCTACAAATCAATGTGCAGAGCACGCCTGAGTAAACCTCCAATGTGAATGTAGTAACTGTAGAAATATAGCCAGGCTTGCAGTATTTCTCTCATTTAATTGCAAATACTTGGTTTTACAAAGTAAATATTTACAAATATTGGTTTTAGAAATTGAATTTCCTGTACTGCTGATAACATCTTCACTAGTTAACAATTTTGCTCTAATAGCTTCATTACAACAGTTCCTCCTGTGAGAAGGGTGAGCCCCATGCTTTGATTAATCAAGAGGGGGAAAAAAGAAAACCAAACAAAAGCAATATTAAAAAGAAAAACCAAAACTAATCACAAGAAAATCAAGGACTGAATGAAAGCACTGAGTCTCCCACCGTGGAGAATTCATCAGTCCTGTGACATGGTCATGGGCAGCCAGCTCAGGTGGCCCTGCTTGAGCAGGGGCTTGGCCCAGGTGACCTCAGAAGGTCCTGGCCACCCTCATCCATTCTGTGGTTCTGTGACTTCAGCTCTGCCCCATTCTGGGTCCCTGGCAAACCTGAGGACTGAGGATCACAAAGTTGAGAGGGAAGATCTGTAAATATGCACCAGTTGTGCATGGGTTTTGTTTGGTATTTTGAAGGATGTGGTTTCCTGTATTCCTCCTAAGTAGTTAGTGCTTTAGCAGTCTCTAAGTGTGACACAACAACATTTTGTCAAAAGAATCATGCCTTGACAATATGAATCCTCAGATCAGCCCTTTCCTTTCATCTCTCTTGAAAGAAATAGTTTTTGGTCTTTTAGATAACGATGGGAGTTTTATACTCCCAAAGAGAGAAATGTCAGTGTTTTATTGGAATGCGGCTAATTAACATAACTAATATGAATTTGAGATAATTTTTCAACATTTTACAAATGTTAGCATTTAGAAACATAGACTATTTTGGTAATAAAAAGGAAATTGGTGGTTGGCCTTCCACTGAAAAGTCAAAGTATTTAGGAAGTTAATAAGTTAGGAGAGAAAGTACCATGCTTTTTCATTTAAAGTGGGGTTCTGTTAAATTCTTTTCAACAGCTTTAAACAGTCCTACTGAGTTATTGAGGTAATAGCCAGTAATATAAGCTTCCCCAGGAAGGTCGTGTGTTAATCCTGCCCTCTCCATCTACTACAGAGAAACCCTTTTCCTTTTTTAACCACTGTTGGAAATTGTAAATATATTTTGTGATAGTGATTGTTAAAGCACAAAAAGATCTTCTAGTCAAATGTGATTTTTGTTTTCCGTCAGGAAAGCTGAAGGGCATACAAGCCTCCAAAAGTTTAAATGCCCTTTTCAGCTCCACTTCTGCCATGGGTACTCTGTTTCTGTAAGTGATTGTGGCTGATTTAGCTGGCGCCTACCTTTGTTAGATGCTCAGGACTTTAGAGAAAAACATTTCTCAACATTGAGACCTGGTAATTGGATGTTTTAGCTAAATCAGATGTACGGGATAAGACAAACAGGGATGTTGAACAAAGTTTATTTGACCATTGTTTTAAAATTCCTGTAATAAATTTGGCAGTATAATTTGGTAATAAAGAAGTGAATGTGTTCCTGGATTTTCCTGATTTGCCAGGTGAAAATACTGGTAACACATAAGCTTTATTTTCTTAGGCTATGTCACTTTCTAGGATGGGTTTGATTTTTGTGGTTGTTTTTTCCTTGTTCCTCCTGGATCATATCCTTGCGTGTGGTAGAGCACAGTATAAGAGGTCTGTGTGGTAGAGGCAGCCTGAGGCAGTGACTTCAGCAGAGCATCAGCAGCCTTGCAGGGGTGTGCACCGAGGTGTGAGGGCAGAAGGGTGGTAAATGTGAGGGAAGAGGGCTGTGAGGAAATGACTTGTGCAAAGTGACACCTGTGAAATCTATCACCAGAGCAAAAGAAAGTACAAGAGGGGGATAAGGAGGACGCAAAAAAAGGACTTCTTCAAAAAGAGAAGGAGGAAGGTGTGGAAGTGAGGATATCTCACACACATCTACCAGATGGAAACAAAGATTCTTATGCATTTGGAATTTTACCAAATCCCAATAAGCATAAGGCAAAAACAGTCTTTCACATCTGGAAAATTACTATATTTCAAGTACTTTCTCCAGAACATGAGAGTTCCAGAAACGTTGAATAAAATGGTTTTGGAAATGTAAGCAGTGCAAAATACTGTGTTCACCTCATTTTGTAAGACACCAGAATTACTTTTGATGAAATTTTCAGAGAGAATTTCTTTATTGAAAAGCAGAAATAATCTGAACAGAAAATTACACAGAAAAGTTCAAGATGACAGTTTAAAGTAAAAAAAAAAAAAAAAAAAATCTGCCATTCAGATTATACCATAGAAACTATTAAACTAGAGTGAAAATACCTGAAAGGATGGGACTTTTTTTCTTGTTTGAAGGAGAGAAATGTCATGAGGAGTCTTTAACTATACTAAAATGTCTTATTTCCCTATTTTCTACGTTACTGTGATAAATGCTTCTGTAAAAATTAGTTATTTATGCTCATGGTGAGTAGTACAAAAATAAGACTCAAATTCCAGTAATGTATTGTCATAGAATCACAGAAAGCTTTTGTTTGGAAGGGACCTGTAAAAGTCCTCTAGTCCAACCCCCTGCAATCAGCCAAGATATCTTCAGCTAGACCAGGTTGCTCAGAGCCCTATCCAGCCTGGCCTTGCATTTCCAGGGATGGGGCATTAACCATCTCTCTGGGCAACCTGTTACAGCGTTTCAGTAAATCACTGTAAACAGTATCTTCCTTACATCTAGCCTGAATCTTCCCTTTTTCAGTTTAAAGTCATTGTCCCCTGTTCTATCACTGCATGTCCTTGTAAAAATCCTTCTCCAGGTGTTTTGTGGGTCCTTACAGGTACTGGGAGGCTGCTGTAAGGTGTCACTGGACCCTTCTTTCTCCAGGCTCAGCAGCCCAAATGCTCCCAAAGTGTCCTCGCAAGAGTTGTGCTCCAGCCCCCTGATTCTCTTTGTTGCCTCCTCTGGGCTGGCTCCAGCAGGTCCCTGTCCCTCCTGTGCTGGGAGCCCAGGGCTGGATGCAGTGCTCCAGGTGGGTCTCAGCAGAGCAGAGCAGAGGGGCAGAATCCCCTCCCTGCCCTGCTGCCCACGGGGCTCTGGATGCAGCCCAGGACACGTTTGGCTCTCTGGGCTGTGAGTGCCATGGCTGGGGCATATCCAGATTTTCATTCATGAGCACCCCCAAGGACTGTGCTGAGTGCTGTACAAACACACAACAAATTTTCCTTATTAAAGCTCATTTAACACAGAAAAAGATTACTCACTTCACCAATAGACATCCTTTGAAACAGGTCAGAAAGTGTCTGCCTAGTGTAAAATAAAGGTCTGCCACATACTTTGGTGGCAGATACAACCTCTTAAAATTCTGGCTTATCTGGAGGTTCATGTATACTGATGATTACTAAGTCCATGTGTTTAAAAAAAGTACAGTCTGATCAGAATTGCCCTTCACACTTGAAGGCTGTGCAAACCAGCAGAGGAGACTCGACTCATGGGACAAATGGAAGATTGTTTGCTACAGAATACTATTTAGTGAGACAAAATGTAAGATACTTCAAAAGTACAGATTTTTCAAATACAGTAATTCCACAAGGAAGAATGTATTGCAGAAGGTTTTCCATTGCACTTCCTTACAGAAGCGAAAGCATATACATGACTGTACTGATAAAAAATCCTATAGTCCTTATATGCAGGGTCTCTAAAATCACAGCTCCTCTTTAAAATGAGGCTAGAAATATCGATTTTTTGTAGTATCACTGTGTTTTCCTACAATGCAACAGGAAATTTGAGAAGGAGATTTACATCTCCATTAGGGGAAGAATTAAAAGTACCACTGTTCTTTCTTTTGTCATAATAGAAATTAGTGGCTTTGGGCACTATTCCAATGGCAACATAAAATTTCAAATGGATGACAAGTGTGTATTTTTCAGTTTTACATCGCTGCTTTAAAATAATCCCTCTGATCTTTTGCATCACTTAAAATTTACTTTAATATTTTGTTATTTCTTTGTAAAAATGTCAAGCACAAAAACTCTTTTCTAATAGATTTACTAAGATGATCTTTTTATGCTGTATTGTATGAATCATCAAAGCAGCTTTGACGCTTACCAAATGTTATTTATTGTGCATGAACATAACTATATAGACAGGTTTTAATTAGGAGACCTCTTTCATGGAAAGCTTAAAAGCAGATGGTGTTTGTTTATATTTTGTTTTCAACAGAAATACAAAAATGAACATTTAGTGTTTACTTGTTTTTCATGTGTCCCTGAAAATTAAAAGCTAGCCAAGTTGAATAAAATGACACTGTTTTACAAGAACTAAACTCCAGTTCTTCTCTTTAAAGTTCAGCATGCTCCTGCACTTCAGAGCTGGCTGTGGACCAATAATCAAGCTTTTTTTTTCTATCTGGAATTGAAGGGCTGCCTCTTACAACAGCAGTAATACTGATAGCATCTTAAATCTGATTTTGTATCTCTTTCTTCTGAGTTCCCATCGTATGGAGTCCATATATTCATCTGTGCCATCAGAAGGATGAGCCATCAGTTTCTGTCAGTGCAGAAGAAACGTTGTGATTTTCCAAATTATTTGGCATGTTTTAAGTGTTTATAAGCTACAACAGAATAAGTAAACCGTGATTTACCATATGTCTTTAAAGTTTTAATATTCAAGTTACCAGAACTCTTCCCAAATACCATCCGAATCCATATCATCACAGTTTTCCCATCTTACAGGAAGACTTCTGTACATGTCATAAAAGAGTTTTGTCTCTAAGGCAACACATTTTCATAACTGACTGTACAGTCATAAATGTGAAATACACTCATCTTTTGTGTACATGTACCTAAGTTTGAGGAGGTAGGTTCAGCCTTGACCACTGTTAAGATAACTAAAAGACAATACAGTTGTAATTCTTGGTGTAGCTTTTTTCTAGTATTGTAGCAACCTCTTATTTTAGATGGTCACATTTCTTTGTTTTTAATTTCACAGCTTCTCTGTTGAGGATTTGTATTTGTGAATATTTTCCCAGCTGAACTGAAAGAAAGGAGAAGCCTCAATAAGTTAGTGAGGCTTACTTCTACTTGTATTATGTTGTTTATAAGATTATAATCTATATAATCTATAGAAGATTATAGATTATAGAAATTCTTTCTTAGAGCAGCTCTCGAAGTTTGGAGTTCATTTGGCTCCTTCTATGCATTTATTTATGTGTTTTTATAACCACATGCCTATTACAGAAACTCTTTACCATGTGGCTAGTATTAGTGTATTGTTAGGTCTGTATGTGAAACAACTGCAATCTAATTTAAAGGCAGCAATACCAGTGATACTTCAAATTCCAGTCATCCCTTTTCTGTATTTCTTTAAACCATATCTGTTGCTTTTGCCTTATGTACATCTGATGATGAGAGAAAAGTGGAATAGGAAACCATCCAAAAAATTGTTTTTCCTTTTACCTTTTTAATAACAGCATTATTTTTCATATATGAACTCTCTATTTGTGCCCTCGTTGCCAGGTTCCTAGTTTATTCATGCATTTTTGTCATTTCAGACACAATTGTTTGGGGGTCAGGCTGCTATTGAACCAAGATGAGGGAGGATTCCTCCAAAAAAAGACAGGAGTAAAACAGCTTTTGGCTTTGCTCAAATGATATATGTCATCTTTTTGTTGTTGACAATTTTTATGAAAAAGGAAGGCTTTAAAATGTCCCATCTTTGTTTCTTCCTTGTTCTGCTTATAGGCAATCCGAAGCTTCCAGGTGTCCTTACACATCTTTCCGATGAACCCTGAAGTATGGAAAGAAGACCTTTCCTGGGCAAGAAAACTACAGGAACAGCAGAAGGCCACAAAGACTGAGTCAGTGCAAGCCCTGGCAAAAGAGCTTGTACAAGAGTCAATCCCAGACTATGACTTTGAAAGTGATGAAATTGTGGCAGTCTGTGCTGCCATTGCAGAGAAGGAGAAAGCTCTTTCAGCAGCTAAAACGATGGTGATTGTGTCTGCTTCAGGTACAGTAGAGACTGTTACTGAGCAGGACAATTGTCCTGCAACTCCTGATGAAACTCTTTTCATCAGGGCTCGGTAGGGCAGCCTCATGAGTTGTCATACCTATAATTTTTAAGAACTGCTGTTATTTATTGTATTTAGCTTGCTTTGTGTTTGTTCTTTTTTTATTAAATGGTAGGATAGCCTATAAAAGTTAAAGAACTGAAGCTATTTTTCTTTCCTTAATTAAAAAAGCAATGGCCTGAGTTGTTGTTCCATCTGGATTTGTCAAAAAGAAAGCCAAGAGTTGATTCTAAAAATTCTAAATTCTTATGAACAAATGTAATGTTGAAATGCTTAACTGCATTCTAACAGCTGCTTCATCTTTGTGTATTTCATAATTTTACAAGTTAATGTGTACATTTTCCCAGTAATTAGGAAAGTTTTATTTAAACTGTAAAAGTGCTGTGGTTTATCCCCAGCTGGCAACTCAGCCCCACTCAGCTGACTGCCTCCTGGTGGAATGGGGGGGAGAATTGGAAGAGTAAAAGTGAAAGAACTTGTGGGCTGAGATGGACACAGCCTAATAGGAAAAGTAAAAGCTGCGCATGCAAGCAAAGCAAAACAAGGGGTTCACCCACTAGTTCCCATGGGCAGGCAGGCATTCAGGTATCCCCAGGAAAGCAAGGCTACATCATGTGTGACTTGGGAAGACCCTTGGAATGTCCTCCCTTCATCTACCTCCTTCTGTCCCCAGTTCTGTGTGTTGTGCTGTGAGATTGAATATCCCTGTTGTCAGCTGGGGTCAGCTGTTCTGGCTTGCCTCTTCCCAGCTTCTTGTGCACCCCCAGTCTTCTCACTGATGGGGGGGGGGATGCAAAGCAGGAAAAGGTCTTGACCCTGAGCAAGCCCTGCTCAGCAGTAATAAAAACAATGTGTGTTACCAATATTTGCCAGCACAAAATCAAACCTAGCCCCCTACTTGCAACTCTGAAGAAAATTAACTCTATCCCAGCCAAAACCAGCGCAAAAAGAAAAAGGGACGTTTAAAAATTATTTTAATCACTATTAATTAACATTATTTTCTTCCAGTAAAAGTGTGAACTGTTTTCTATTATTGACAGTCTTTGTTTTCATTAAGATTACTTGTTATATGAGAAAGTTTCCTATGAAGCAGGGATGGTTTATTATTTTGTAGAAACCTTTATGTTGCTTTCCTCAGTGAGTGGGTTAAACACTTCTGATTAGATGAAAGGAAATGCTTTACCAACCAAAACCCTGAATGCTTAGTTACAACTAAATGTTTCACCAGAAGAAAGAACACTGTTTGTGACTGAAACTGGCCTTTCCTTATCTTGTGTGCTGTGCTACAGAAATCACCAAAAGTAGGAAAAAACCACCAAAAGTAGGTGGGAGTAGGAAATATGGCTGAATTGTACTGTATTTGGGGCTTTTCTTTCCTAGTGAGGCCAGTCTGATAAAGGGAGTCAATTTGCTTTTCCTGATTCTTATGACCTACCATTAAAGGTATGCTCTTAGGGGAAAGAATGAGTTTTGCAGGACAGTGCTGCTGGAGTCTTCCTTTTTATCCCTTTTGGATTTTGGGTGCAGTGGTGGGTAATGAGGCATACCCTAGGAAATGTTTTTAACGTTGATTTTTTTTCAGGGGAAGGTGGCAATTTGTTCCTCACACAGGAAGTTCAAAGAAATGAAATCAGGCTGTTTCTTTGATGTGCTCTGTGCTGAGACTGTTCTCATTTCATTGTCTTGGAGATGTGGTAGAGATGATCACATGCTAACAGTACTGGAAAAAATGGTCAGCTGAGGAATTCCTGAAGAATTCAGTTTGGGAACATGTAATTTTTTACTTGATTTTGATAAAATTTTGTATGATAATAGATACTTTTGTAGACAAGTGAAACTTTTGAAATCAGTCATCTTTGCACTTTTCAAGTCTGATTTCTAATTTCAAAATAACGCATTTTAAAAGAAAAGAATGTTGCTTGATGAGTATAGTGTTTTTGCAGTGGAAAATGCATTGCAGAAAAACTATCTCAAATCATATTTTCTGTTTATCTGGTATCAGAGTATCTTTATTTAAGAGAATATGTAAGTTTTCATTAATGTTTGCAAGAGTCCCCTGAAATGTTGTTTGTATTTGTGAATTTTTAGGTCTGTGCTTGCATGAGCACACATTCACACAAAATCTTCTGGGTACATTCACACAAAATCTTCAAAATAATTAGAACTACAGTGGCATAAGTATATTAAGAAATGTAAAACATCATAATGCTTCATTTTTATTTCTTCATTAAGTTCAGAATGATTTTAAATGCTTACTGGATAGGCACTTGATTAAGATATGGTTTGATATTTTAAATTATTATAGTTTAAGGATTTCTTAATCTTTCTTCTATCAACTTAATACAATCTAGTCAGCCGTAGAAAGAGTTAGCATGAGAAGGATTTGGACAGATTTCTTCAAAGACGAGATCTTCTCTGGCTGGAAAAGGAGATGTGTGAGATGCTCTAGGGTACATTTTCATTTTGAAGGAGCTTGGCTGTATCCACCTCATCTTTTCTTTCTTTGCGCTTTGTACTTGCGTCAGTGTTCTGTCTTTACTCATACAGGAAGGACTGCTGCCCTTCTCTCAGAGGCCTGTGTTATCACAGAATCTGTTTCCACTGAAGTGATTCACAAAGTTCCTATTGACTTCAGCACTGCAGAGCCAGACTGCTGGAGGGGTGTACATCTGCACTGTCAGGTTGCGCGGGGCTCGAGGGGTGGTGGTTTCCATCTCACACTAAATGTATTTTCCTTCTGATTAGATTAGGTGATGAATTCTAGGTATTGTCAGAACTGTAGTGTTTTGTAGAGCAGTTAAGTTCCTGGGACACTCTTTTCAAACTGGGGAGAAGTTCAAATATTGATGATTTTAACACTGTTCTTTTACAGCATGCCATGTTTTGCATGTATGTAATTTTCTGGATCGGTTTGCGGTTTGAATAAAATCCTGACTTCTGAGGGTTAGTGATGTCTGTTTATTCTTTGGGTTATAACAAAAATAAGTGTTATTTCCCATTCTTGAATGTTCCTCATTTAATAATTGGCTTTTGTCTCTGGTGAACATGTTAATTTGTTTTAGTAAAAAAGAAAAGAAGACATCTCGGGGAAAAATATTTAACAAAAAGTGATGCACAGAGCTTTTAAACCCTTCAGGGATATCCACATGAGATGGAGCAAAAGGAGATGTTATCCAAAACAGGATATTAGTGAAATACACTCCTTTGACATTATATTATATTAAAAAAATATATATATTTATTGTCTGTCATCATTAGTGGCAGTGACTGCAGCAGCTTTCATGTGTTTGCCTTCCATATGAATCACATACTAAAATGCTCAAGAACAATACTGGGTTAGATCGATAATTTTATTTGATTTTAAAAACTACAGTTAAACATTCAGATATATTTTTCCCTTTGAGTCCCTTTGTATACAGTGGAAAGAAATACACAGCCTCATGGGGCCACTCATATGCCTTGTGTTAGATAAGTATCAGAATGAGTTGAATCAGCCTCCCAAGGTGCCTAATTATTTCCCTTGACTACAGAGGAAGCTCAAGGTGACTGACTGGCATAACCTAAAATGCTGAAGGCAGGCATGTGACTTCCACTTTCAGAGATAAATATCTTTAAAAACCTTTAATGTACTGAGAGAGAAATAAATCTTTTCTGACAATACTAGAGGGTAAAAAAGGAAAAGGGATCAGGTAACACAGCAGTGACTCCTACTTGATAATACCATAAGAAAGTGGATTTTAAAAGTAGTCACGGAGAGGGATAAAAACCAAATCAAGCAGTTTACTCTGGGTTTAGAGATCAAGATCAGAGAGGTAGCACTGGAAACTTGCTTGCCCACACAAGGTAAGTTCCCTCTCAATCCTAAAACCAAGGGAAAGGAGGTAAAATACTAGCATTGAGATGCTATCTTTAATTTTTTGAGTTCACAGAATAGCTATAAAACTCTAATGACTGTAGTTAGGACTGGGGCACAGGAAAGCAGAAGCATGTGGGCTTGGTTTGTTGGCAGACTGCAGGAGCTGTGTGTTTACTGTCAGTCACTGTCATGTTAACATGGTGTTCCCAGATGTGCTGGAGTCCCTGGGCTATCCTGTCTCCAGAAGGGCTGGTTCTGGAGCAGGAGGGGCTGATGGGCATGGGTGACTGCTTTCAGGGCCGATTTCCTAAGAGCCACAAGGCTAGGAGCTGTAAGGATTGTAAAGGATAAACGATCAAAGGGAGTGATTAGATGTGGGGATCGAGCTGCCTTTGGTTTCACAAAGCAGGAGATTCACTGAGTTTCTAGGTCTGTAAAGCTGGCAGGCCTGGAGGAGGGCCTGGAGTGCAAAGGCCTGGTGGTATTTGGTAGCTCTAATATTAAATCTGCCTTAAGTGGACCAGGTTTGCTGTTGTGTCTGGCAGCAAAAATAAAACCTCAAAAGCTTCCTGACTTAGAATGTTGGCTGTGCCATTTGAAAAAACAGCAGATTACACTGATCCTGTTAGTGTGTTGGCATTGGGCCTGTTGCGCCAGTTCAGGTCAGGCAGCACGGGTGTTCCCGACAGCAGGAATGTGTGAGCCTGATTTAAAACAGCCCAAGCCCTCTGACAGTACATCCTACACCCTTAACCGTTCATAAGGCTAACTTACCATGGATCAGAGATTCAAACTAATCTACAGATCTTCACAGAAACCACTGTCTGGTACAGATACTGGCTCTCATCCTGCCTGCAGTGGGTGGATCCTCCAAGCCCTGCCACAGGACAGGGGCTTAAATTGAGTTAGGGCTGGGGTTTGGGGTGTGGTTGCAGGGTTGGAGGTTTAGCAGTGTCCCTGTAAAGGGTTTGGGGTGTGGTTGCAGGGTTGGAGGTCTAGCAGTGTCCCTGTAAAGGGTTTGGGGTGTGGTTGCAGGGTTGGAGGTCTAGCAGTGTCCCTGTAAAGGGTTTGGGGTGTGGTTGCAGGGCTGGAGGTATAGCAGTGTCCCTGTAAAGGGTTTGGGGTGTGGTTGCAGGGTTGGAGGTCTAGCAGTGTCCCTGTAAAGGGTTTGGGGTGTGGTTGCAGGGTTGGAGATCTAGCAGTGTCTCTGTGAAGGGTTCAGCAAAGCGGTGATCTGGGATGTCTGGGCAGGACACTGCTGGAAGTGAGGGAGGGGGACTGCCAGTCACAGGACTAGCAGGGTGGACAGAGTTTGAGAGATACAAGTTTGCTATGAGAAGTTGTTGAATCAGAGGACTGGGGAACGTGAATGGTGATGTGAAATGCCATTCTGAGGGGATATGGACCTCTGGGGTTTGGGAACATACGGGAAATATTGATGTGTGAGAAAGGAAACACTTTTGTATATATGGAAACTACTCCTAATACCAAGCAAGAAAATAACCTTTTAACCTCCATGTGGCAAATTAGACTCTTCAAACTTGTAGCCTTATTTTAGACTTGTTAAGCTCAGGGAGGCTGAGGAATGTATCCAGTAATGTGTCTGTGGTCAGCATTGGAGGAAGGTGCTAAACCTGAGTGGGACTGTGGGGCAGGTGAATGAGATGTCACTACTGTCAGCCTAAAAAAAGGAACACTTGCCCAGTCCTTCTGCCCAACTGCTCCTGAACACTCATCTGTGTTTGCAGCTGGGCAACAGAAGTGCTCTGATTTTGCCTTTGTGCACTTCCATGGGGCTGTGGCAGGCAATTCCAGTGTTGTTCAGAAGATTTAGTGGGCTGTTTGGGAATCACCAAGTTCACTTCTGAGGGAGTTCATGTTGATAATGAGTCTTGTCCACTACTGATACATTGTGAACCCTGGGGGCAGGAGGACCTCAGGCCTATCCCGTTTGCTAAGGGAAGCTACTTAAGATGGTCTATTCTTGCTTAAAATTCTTTCAGACCATGTGTAGTTCTCATCAGTAATGATGACAAGGAGTAATAAAGGCATATTAATGAAATAATTTTAAAAATAGCAAGCCCTTGCTTATTTAAATACTTACACACTGTAGATATTAAACTCTGTCATTGCATAAAGTACCAATAATACTGGTGTGCTGCTGTGGGCCGGCTGCAAAGGTGTGGCCCCATATTGGTACATGTGGTGTTATCTGCACCAGTGGCAGTCCCACCTTCCTGCTCTGCCAGGTGCTATTTCCTGCTTTAGGAAGTATGGTGAGTCTGTTCTATTTGTTGGTCACTAGTAAGCAACAGACCATAGTGAGGTGGTTTAATTGCAAGGAATTCAGGCAGATCTTTTATCTGAAGATCTGTATCAAATCTGTAGCTGCAGTAGGAGCTTGGGCAATACTGTTCTCCAGCTTAACTGGTGTAAAGTGGCTGCTGCTGCTGCAAATATTTGTGTAGAGATTTAACTTCAGTTTCTATATGTATGAAGGCAAACAAGCTCAACCCCTCCCCTGTCAAAGGGAAATGTCTTTGTTCAAAAAAAGAATTTTTGTGGCTCTATGTCAGTGCTCTTGGGGATAGTTTTGAAGACAGCTGCTTCTTGCTGATGGTGATCGTGCTGTGGTGTTTTGGAAACTTGCAGGACAAAGTATGTTTTGGCAGTAGCTGAGTCAAAGCATTCCAAGATGGGAGGCTTGTTAAGGCAAGGAGTTGGCACTGAATGGCAGACTCATGTAGACATCTGAGATCAAGCAGAACATTTCCATTTAATTGTGATCCCCAAAGTTGCTTTGGTCGGTACAACTGCTTAAACATATCAACATAAGGCTCAAGATTTTCATTACAATGTAGCATTCACATCTAAAACACTTTAAGCAACATAACATGCTTTGTATTTGACAAAACATCCCCCAAATATCTGTACAGAATTATTTTGATACACAGTATTTCTGGAACAAGATCTAACCCTTAAAACATAAAACACAAAACTCCTTTTTGTCAGTGGTTAACAGCTGGTTTTGGCGATGTGTTTGTCATCAAAACTCTAGCAACAAATGCTTTTCAAGGTGTTTAAGACTGCGATATAAGTCTATATAATCTATATTTTAAATGAAGATTCTGCTTCCATGGTTTCATACACTTATTTGATGGAGTATCAGATTACACAGTCATAAAATTCTATTTACTAATTAAAGTAAAATGATAAATGTTATGAAAAAATACCTTTATTACATCAGTGATGCTTTAACTAAAGTGAATATTAAGACTATTAACCAGGAGTTGAAAGTTTCAGGCCCTGATATTGAAAGCACTTCTATATGTCCTTAACTTTACATGTAAGGAGTCTCCCTGGCAGCAGAGGGACCACTCTGATGGGCAATGTTAAGTGTGTGCCTAAGTGTGCAGACTGTGGGCCAAAGTACTCAGAGAGGCGCGCGGGTGTTACACAGAAAAACATTCTCAGAACATAAATAAAATCAGATTTTTTTTTAGTATATACATATACTGAAAACTAATATTCTTAACTGGAAGGATGTGTTTTCTTTTTCTGTCTTAGGAAGGCATATATTCCCATTTCACTCAGAAAGTGCTTATGTATTCTCAGCTCAAGAATTATCTCATCAGCTGTGAATCTAGCATGAACAACAAATCTAAGCTAAGAATTCCTTATCAGCAGGAAATACTGAGGGGAGAAAAGGCTGGCAATCATTTCTATATACCTTGTATTCATAACAAACCTTCTCATAGAGAAGAATACACTTTTAAATATCTTCAATCCTGATATATATACAATGATAAAAATTCACATTTTCATGCTTTAGTGAGACACTTTAAAATCCTACTGCAGGCAGCTCTCAAAGTAGCTGTGTCCAGTTACTAGCAGCTGCCTCATATTCAGCTCTAGTACGAGAAGCTCAAACTCTTGACAGCTGAGCAGCCACGGGGAAGGAGCAAGAAGAATTCTACCAGACATGGAAAGGGAAAGAAAAAAAGAAAAAAAAGCAAGTGATGGGGTCTTTTTATTTCCAGAGGCACAGTAGCTCTGGAACAAGACAAGGCAGTTCATGTTTCCAG